GCAGGAATGGAAGAGGGGCCAGCATCACTGACCTTACAGAAATAAAAAGAATTATAAGGTGTGGTACTGGCATATGGACCAATGTAATAAAATTGAGAGTCCAGAAATAAACCCATATGTATGATCAACTGATTTTTGACAAGCGTTCCAAGACCACTCAATGAGGAAATGGTAGCCTATTCAACAAATGGTGCTGGGACAGCTGGATATCCACATGCAAAAGAATGAAATTGGACCCATAACTCTCACCACAAACAAAAATTAACTCAAAAGTTATTGGTAACCTAAATGTAAGAGCTAAAATTATAAAACTCTAAGAAGATAATCTATGGGTAAATTTTCATGACTTTAGATTTAGCAATGGATTGTTAGATATGACACCAAAAGCATGAGCAACAAGTGAAAAATTAGATTAAATGGGCTTCATGAAATTTAAGCATTTTGTGCATCAAAGGACACAATCAAGAGAGTGAAAAGACAACTTGTATAATGAGAAAAAATACTTATGAATTGTATTCTCTAGTATCCAGAATATGGAGAGAACTTTTACAACTCAACAAGACAAACAACCTAATTCATAAATGGATAAAGGATTTGAACAGATATTTCTCAAAAATAAATCTATGCAAATGATCAATAAGCACATGAAAACATGCTCTGCATAATTAGTCATTAGGGAAATTTATTTTAAACCACAACATATCACTTCATACCCACTAAGTTGGTGATAATCTAGAAAATGGAAAGTGTTGGTGAGAATGTGAAGAAACCAGTTATTGCTGGTGGGAATGCAAAATGGTAAAGCCACTGTGGAAATAGTATGCCAGTTTCTCAAAATAAACATAGAATTGTCTTATGATCCAGAAATTGCACAGCTAAGTATATACCAAAAGTACTGAAAACAGGTATTTAAACACTTACCTATATACAAATTTTCATAGCATCATTATTCACAATAGGTATAAGGTGGAAACAGTCAAAATGCCCATTAACAGATGCATAGATAAACAAGTTTCTTACATCCACACATGGAACATTATTCAGCCATGCAATGGAATGGAGTACTGTTACATGCTACAATGTGGATGAACCTCGAAAGCATTCTAAGTGAAAGAAGTCAGACACAATGGTCACATATTCTATAGTTCCAGAATAGGTAAATCAATAGAAACAGAAAGCATATTTGTGGTTGCCAGAGGAAGAAGGAGTAATTGCTTAATGGGTAAGGGGTTTATTTGGCAGTAATTAAAATGTGTTGGAACTAGATAGAGGTGATGGTGGTACCACATTTTGAGTGTAGTAGATTCCACTGAATTATTGGCTTTAAAGTAGGTAATTTTATGTCATATGCATTTCATCTCAATAAATTATTTTAAACATTTCAAATAATATAGCAAAAAAAGAGAACAGTAAACAGATGAGATGAATAGAACACAAAGAGTAAGTTAGTAGATTTAAATCAAACTCTACCAATAATCATATTACATATAAATGGTCAAAATACCCAAAGTAAAAGGAAGAGATTGTCAAACTGGATAAAAAAGCAAGATTCAACTATATGCTGCCTACAAAACACAAATAAGTAGGGCTTCCCTGGTGGCGCAGTGGTTGGGAGTCCGCCTGCCGATGCAGGGGACACGGGTTCATGCCCCAGTCCGGGAGGATCCCACATGCCGTGGAGCGGCTGGGACTGTGAGCCATGGCCACTGAGCCTGTGCGTCCGGAGCCTGTGCTCTGCAAGGGGGGAGGCCACAACAGTGAGAGGCCCACGTACAGCAAAAAAAACAAAAACAAAAACAAAAACAAAAACAAAAACAAAACACAAATAAGTAAAATGTAACACTATTACAAAAAAGTTGTAGAGGTTATATTAATATAAAGCAAAATATATTTCAGGGCATATAATATTATGAAGCATAAAAGGCCATTTCATAATGATAAAGGAAGGAGTCAATTCATCAGGAGGCTATAAAAAATCCCAAACACTTAACAGAGTTTCAAAATATATAAAGCAAAAAACTGATAGAATTGCAAGGAGAAATAGACAAATTCAAAACTGTAGTCAGATATTTTTATATCCCTCTCTCAAAAAATAATAGAACATGTAGATAGAAAATCAGTTAGCATTTATAAACCAGTCCAGCAAAAAAAAAAAAAAAAACCCAAAAAACAAAAAACCCACAAAAAAAAAAAAAAAAACCCAAAAAACAAAAAACCCACAAAAAAACAAAAAACAGAAAAATACATATTTTTTTTAAGCAAACAGGAAAAATTTACCAAGAAAGGCCATATTTGAGACCAGAAAACAAAACTTGAAATTTAAAAGGATTCAAATCATACAAAGTATATTCTCTGACCACAGTGGAATTAAATTAGAAATTAATGACAGAGAGATAGCTGGACAATCTCCAAATAACTGGAAACTAACTAATATATTTCTATATACCCTGTGGGTCATAAGAGTAACCAAAGGAGAATTAGAGTGTATTTTTAGCTAGATGAAAACTAAAACATACCATTAATATTTGTGGGACACTGCTAAAGTAGTACTAGGGCAAAATTGTAGCACTAATCACCTATATTAGAAAAAAGTCTCAAGTCAAAGATCTCAGCTTCCAACTGAAGAGTCTAGCAAAAGAAAGGCAAATCAAACCCAAAGTAGCAAAAGAGAGGAAATAATGAACATCAGAGCAGAGATCAATGAAATACAAAACAGAAAAAAAATCAGAAATACAATGAAATGAAAGACTTCCCCTTTAAGAATATGAATAAAATTAAAAACACTCTAGGCAGACTGATCAGGAGTAACAAAGAGCAGACACAATTTGCCAATACCAGGACTGACAGTGTGATGTAACTAGGGTCTATAGCTATTTACAGATGATAAAAACAGGCAAGAGTTAAAGCCCTGAGTGAGAGATAAACTGGCAATGGTAAAAAGCCCCTTTCACCTCAGGATATTTATCAATTTTAGGCAAATTAGAGACAAAGAAACAAGACTTGGGCCCTTCATACCATGGCAGAAAATTGCTGCTGTGGGATAAAAAAGAAACCAGTAGCAATTTTTAATGTAGAAAAGGGAGTGCTTAAAGAGCTACTTGTGTCTTAAATCCATATAAAAGTATTGAAGAGAGGCTGAATATAAGTGATTTAAACGTCCATATCAAATAGTTACAAAACCAAATCGAGCATAAGGAAAGTAGAAGAGAAAATTGAACATTTCATTAAATGGAACATTTAACAAATATAGGAATTCAATACATACACACACACGCACACACACCACTCTTAGTGTATATATTAAAATGTAAACAAAGCCAAAAGTTGGTTTTTTGAAAAATAGTAAAATTGATAAACAAAGACACAAATTAGCAGTACCAGGAATGAAAAAGAGAAAATCATTACACTTGCTCCCAACATCAAAAATGATAATAAGATTTGCAGCCAGTTAAGCCGACTGTGCTCTTTTCCCCATGGGGGCCCGGTGTGCAGTGGCTGCAAACAGCAGCCTCCTCGGTAGTGTATGCAGCCTGTCCCCTGTGTGGGTTGCCCTAAGGGACCTTGGAGACAGCCCTTTCCAGTGGACATTAATGACTGGCATGCTGTCCACAATCTAGGCTCCAGACAGGTATGCGTGGTGCCTTTGGAAAGCCCCAGGGCACAGTGGCCAGGGTCCACGTCGGCCAGGTCATAATGTCCATCCGCACCAAGCTGCAGAACAAGGAGCATGTGATTGAGGCCCTCTGCAGGGCCAAGTTCAAGTTCCCTGGCCGCCAGAAGATCCACATCTCCAAGAAGTGGGGATTTACTAAGTTTAATGCAGATGAGTTTGAAAACATGGTGGCAGAAAAGCGGCTCATTCCAGATGGCTGTGGGGTCAAGTACATCCCTAATCGTGGCCCCCTGGACAAATGGCGGGCCCTGCACTCGTGAGAGCCTTGGCGCTGCCCGCTTCCTACCTATGCCCACCAATAAACTCTACTTTCTTTTCCCTGTTGCAAGGGGGGAGGCCACAACAGTGAGAGGCCCACGTACAGCAAAAAAAACAAAAACAAAAACAAAAACAAAAACAAAAACAAAAACAAAAACAAAAACAAAAACAAAAACAAAAACAAAAACAAAAACAAAAACAAAACACAAATAAGTAAAATGTAACACTATTACAAAAAAGTTGTAGAGGTTATATTAATATAAAGCAAAATATATTTCAGGGCATATAATATTATGAAGCATAAAAGGCCATTTCATAATGATAAAGGAAGGAGTCAATTCATCAGGAGGCTATAAAAAATCCCAAACACTTAACAGAGTTTCAAAATATATAAAGCAAAAAACTGATAGAATTGCAAGGAGAAATAGACAAATTCAAAACTGTAGTCAGATATTTTTATATCCCTCTCTCAAAAAATAATAGAACATGTAGATAGAAAATCAGTTAGCATTTATAAACCAGTCCAGCAAAAAAAAAAAAAAAAACCCAAAAAACAAAAAACCCACAAAAAAACAAAAAACAGAAAAATACATATTTTTTTTAAGCAAACAGGAAAAATTTACCAAGAAAGGCCATATTTGAGACCAGAAAACAAAACTTGAAATTTAAAAGGATTCAAATCATACAAAGTATATTCTCTGACCACAGTGGAATTAAATTAGAAATTAATGACAGAGAGATAGCTGGACAATCTCCAAATAACTGGAAACTAACTAATATATTTCTATATACCCTGTGGGTCATAAGAGTAACCAAAGGAGAATTAGAGTGTATTTTTAGCTAGATGAAAACTAAAACATACCATTAATATTTGTGGGACACTGCTAAAGTAGTACTAGGGCAAAATTGTAGCACTAATCACCTATATTAGAAAAAAGTCTCAAGTCAAAGATCTCAGCTTCCAACTGAAGAGTCTAGCAAAAGAAAGGCAAATCAAACCCAAAGTAGCAAAAGAGAGGAAATAATGAACATCAGAGCAGAGATCAATGAAATACAAAACAGAAAAAAAATCAGAAATACAATGAAATGAAAGACTTCCCCTTTAAGAATATGAATAAAATTAAAAACACTCTAGGCAGACTGATCAGGAGTAACAAAGAGCAGACACAATTTGCCAATACCAGGACTGACAGTGTGATGTAACTAGGGTCTATAGCTATTTACAGATGATAAAAACAGGCAAGAGTTAAAGCCCTGAGTGAGAGATAAACTGGCAATGGTAAAAAGCCCCTTTCACCTCAGGATATTTATCAATTTTAGGCAAATTAGAGACAAAGAAACAAGACTTGGGCCCTTCATACCATGGCAGAAAATTGCTGCTGTGGGATAAAAAAGAAACCAGTAGCAATTTTTAATGTAGAAAAGGGAGTGCTTAAAGAGCTACTTGTGTCTTAAATCCATATAAAAGTATTGAAGAGAGGCTGAATATAAGTGATTTAAACGTCCATATCAAATAGTTACAAAACCAAATCGAGCATAAGGAAAGTAGAAGAGAAAATTGAACATTTCATTAAATGGAACATTTAACAAATATAGGAATTCAATACATACACACACACGCACACACACCACTCTTAGTGTATATATTAAAATGTAAACAAAGCCAAAAGTTGGTTTTTTGAAAAATAGTAAAATTGATAAACAAAGACACAAATTAGCAGTACCAGGAATGAAAAAGAGAAAATCATTACACTTGCTCCCAACATCAAAAATGATAATAAGATTTGCAGCCAGTTAAGCCGACTGTGCTCTTTTCCCCATGGGGGCCCGGTGTGCAGTGGCTGCAAACAGCAGCCTCCTCGGTAGTGTATGCAGCCTGTCCCCTGTGTGGGTTGCCCTAAGGGACCTTGGAGACAGCCCTTTCCAGTGGACATTAATGACTGGCATGCTGTCCACAATCTAGGCTCCAGACAGGTATGCGTGGTGCCTTTGGAAAGCCCCAGGGCACAGTGGCCAGGGTCCACGTCGGCCAGGTCATAATGTCCATCCGCACCAAGCTGCAGAACAAGGAGCATGTGATTGAGGCCCTCTGCAGGGCCAAGTTCAAGTTCCCTGGCCGCCAGAAGATCCACATCTCCAAGAAGTGGGGATTTACTAAGTTTAATGCAGATGAGTTTGAAAACATGGTGGCAGAAAAGCGGCTCATTCCAGATGGCTGTGGGGTCAAGTACATCCCTAATCGTGGCCCCCTGGACAAATGGCGGGCCCTGCACTCGTGAGAGCCTTGGCGCTGCCCGCTTCCTACCTATGCCCACCAATAAACTCTACTTTCTTTTCCCTGTAAAAAAAAAAAAAAATGATAACAAGATATTGTAAAACTTTTGTGACAATTAAAAATGACCTTTCGGATGAAATGGACAAATTCCCCAAAAACGGTGTTTTATCAAAACTGATAGAAGAAAACGAAAATTTGAATAAGCTGAAAATATATTAAAGAAATTGAACTATTACTTTTTTTTTTTTTTTTTTTTGCGGTACGCGGGCCTCTCACTGTTGTGGCCTCTCCCGTTGCTGAGCACAGGCTCCAGATGCGCAGGCTCAGCGGCCATGGCTCATGGGCCCAGCCGCTCCGCGGCATGTGGGATCTTCCCGGACCGGGGCACGAACCCGTGTCCCCTGCGTCGGCAAGCGGACTCTCAACCACTGTGCCACCAGGGAAGCCCTGAACTATTACTTTAAAACCCTCCCACAAGTAAACTTTCAGATCAGTTGGCTTTAATAACTAAGTAATTCAAATATTTCAAAAAATACATTCCCAATCTTTGACAAAGTTTTTATGGGACATAGAAAAACAGGAAAAGCTTCCCACATTTTTAATGAACTATGATATAATACAAAAACAAGACAATATGATACCAAACCAAGACAAGAACATTACCAAGAAGAAAATTATAAAGTAACTTCTTTCATGTACATAGATTCAATAATCCTAAAAAATATTAGAAATGAGAATAAGCAATAAAGAAATAATGTGCTATGATCAAGTGTCATTAAGTCTAGGGATGCAAGATTGTTATAACAAAGAGGGAAGAGATATGGGAACATATGTATATGTATAACTGATTCACTCTGTTATAAAGCAGAAACTAACACACCATTGTAAAGCAATTATACCCCAATAAAGATGTTAAAAATAAATAAATAAATAAATATATAAATCCTGGCTCTGCAAGGACCTTGGGAAAAAAAAAATCAATTGGTGTAATTCACCACATAAACAAGAAAAGTGAAAAATCACATGATTAAGTTTTTCCCAAAATTCAACAATCATACAAGATAAAAATGGTTAACAAACTGGAAATAGAAGGTAACTTAATTTTATTTTTAAAATCTACAAACATCATACAGTAAACACCACACTTAATGATGAATTATTGAAAGCTTTCCTTCAATAACAATAATGTGACACGGGTTTCTAAAGCCATGGCTTCTATTCAATATTGTAATAATATTCTAGAAAGTTCAGTAAGGTATGAAAAGATATAAATATTCAATGTATACTAACAACTACAAAAGAAGAGATAAAACTGGCCCTATTTACAGAATGGGTACGTTAACGAAACTTCAAAGAAATTAGCAGGGCTGTTGGAGACAAGGTAAATAAAAACAAAACAAAATTGTATTTCTACACACCAATGACAAACCAATGGAAAACAGATTTTTAAAATGGTACCATTTACAATGGCATTAAAACACATCAAATACCAAGGGGAAAATCTATCAATTTATACGTGAGACCGCTACACTGAAAACTACAAAATGTTGCTTAAAGAGTCTCAAATAAATGGAGGGATATGCCATGTTCATTGACTGAAAGTCTTAATATTGTAGAGATATCAGTTTCTTCCGAATTAATCTATAGATTCTACCTAATTACAGTAAGTCCCAGCAAGATTTTGGGGGAGATTTTGAAAAACTGTTTCCAGAATTTGCAAGGAAATGCAAAAGGATAAGAAAAGCCAGGGGAAATCTCGAGGGGCACGCCATGAGTGAGTTGACAAAATCAACTATCATAATCTATTATAAAACTAGAGTGATGGATGTGATGTGGTAGTGACAGAAGAATAGACAACAAACTAGTGCAATAGAAGAGTCCAGAAACAGATACAAATGTAGGTGGTCACCTGATTTATGACGAGGAAGTCACTACAGTTCACTGGGAAGGAAAAGTCTCATCAATAAATGTTGCTGAATCATCTGGATGCCATACTGAAAGGTGAAGTTGAATCCCAACTCACACCACACTCAAAAACCTTGTGAAGATGGATTGCAGACTTAAATGTGAATGGTACACAATAAAGCATTCTTAAGAAAACACAGGAAAACATCACTGCAGCCTTGGCTTAGAGAGACTTCTTAAACAGGACACAAAATGGAATAATTACAAAGGGTAAATAATATATAGACTATCTTAAAATCAAGAAGTTCAGCTTATCAAAAGGCCCCACTAAGTGAAAATAAGATCTATAGATTGAGAGAAATTATTTGGAGTAGGTAATTTCTGACAGATGATTTATATCTACAATATATAAAGATATACTATATTATAAAGCAATGAGAGGCAAGGTATCCAATTCTTTTTAAATGTTCAAAATAATTGAACAGTGTTCAAAAACAAAGTTTCAAAATGGTTAATATACATGTGAAAAGATGCTATCTTTTCATACTACTCTGTTGGTTAGTAAGGAAATGTGTAGTAAAACTGCAAAATATATTCACCAGAATGGCTGTAATGAAAAGGAGCAAAAATACTAAGTGTTAGCAAGGATTTAGAGCAATTGGAACTGTTATATACTGTTGATGGGATTGTAAGTTGACATAATCATTTTGGAAAACTATTTAGCAGTCTGGTCCAAAGTTAAACATATGCATAATCCAGCATTTCTATCCTTGTTTACATTTCTGACATAAATGCATGCACACATTCACAAAAAGGTGTACA